ATGTTGGGATGATCCCAAGGAATGGGAATGGCCAGGGAATGACGGCTGGAGGGATGTTGGGATGATCCCAAGGAATGGGAATGGCCAGGGAATGACGGCTGGAAGGGTGTTGGGATGATCCCAAGGAATGGGAATGGTCGGGAATCCCGGCTGGAAGGGTGTTGGGATGATCCCAAGGAATGGGAATGGTTGGGAATCCCGGCTGGAAGGATTCCAGGATGATCCCAAGGAATGGGAATGGCCAGGGAATCATGACTGGAGGGATGTTGGGATGATCCCAAGGAATGGGAATGGTCGGAAATGGCAGCTGGAAGGATTCCAGGATGATCCCAAGGAATGGGAATGGAGAAGGGAAAAAAGGGAAATGAAAAAGGGGAAAAGGAGGAGAAAAAAAGGGTGGAAAAGGAGAGAAAAGCCCAAGGAAAGGGGAGAAAAAAACAAGGAAAGGGGAAAAAGGAGGAGAAAACAAGGAAAGGAGAAGAAAAAAAACAAGGAAAGGGGGAAAAGGGGAAAAACAAGGAAAAGAGAAGAAAAACAAGGAAAGAGAGAAAAGGAGAAAAAACTAAGGAAAGGGGGGAAAGGAGAAAAAAATCAGAAAAGGGAGAAAAATGTGGAAAAAACAAGGAAAGGAGAAAAAAACAAGGAAAGGGAGAAAAGGAAGAAAAACAAGGAAAGGAGAAGAAAAACAAGGAAAGGGGGAAAAGGAGGAAAAAACAAGGAAAGGAAAAGAAAAACAAGGAAAGGAGGAAAAGGGGAAAAATTCAAGGAAAGGGGGAAAAGGAGAAAAAATAGGGAAAGGAGAATAAAAACAAGGAAAGGAGAAAAAGGGGAAAAGAACAAGGAAAGGGGGGAAAGGAGGAAAAACCAAGGAAAGGAGAATAAAAACAAGGAAAGAAGAAAAAGGAGGAGAAAACAAGAAAAGGGGGAAAAGGGGAAAAAACAAGGAAAGCAGGAAAAAAACAAGGAGGAAAAGGAGAAAAAAACAGGGAAAGGGGGGAAAGGAAAAAAAAACGAGGAAAGGGGGACAAGGAGGAAAAACACGGAAAGGAGGAAAAAGAGGAAAAAAAACAAGGAAAGGAGAATAAAAACAAGGAAAGGAGAAAAAGGAGGAGAAACTAAGGAAAGGAGAAAAGGGGGGAAAAAACAAGGAAAGGGGGAAAAGCAGAAAAAAGAAGGAAAGGGGGAAAAAGGTGGAAAAAAACAAGGAAAGGGGGAAAAAACAAGGAAAGGGGGAAAAGGAGAAAAAAATCAGAAAAGGGAGGAAAAGGTGGAAAAAACAAGGAAAGGAGGAAAAAACAAGGAGGAAAGGGGGGAAAAAACAAGGAAAGGGGGAAAAGCAGAAAAAAGAAGGAAAGGGGGAAAAAGGTGGAAAAAAACAAGGAAAGGGGGAAAAAACAAGGAAAGGGAGAAAAGGAAGAAAAACAAGGAAAGGAGAAGAAAAAAAACAAGGAAAGGGGGAAAAGGAGGAAAAACAAGGAAAGGAGAAGAAAAAAAACAAGGAAAGGGGGAAAAGGAGGAAAAACAAGGAAAGGAGAAGAAAAAAAACAAGGAAAGGGGGAAAAGGAGGAAAAACAAGGAAAGGAGGAAAAAGAGAAAAAAACAAGGAAAGGGGGAAAAGGAGAAAAAAATCAGAAAAGGGGGAAAAGGGGAAAAACAAGGAAAAGAGAAGAAAAACAAGGAAAGAGAGAAAAGGAGAAAAAACTAAGGAAAGGGGGGAAAGGGGAAAAAAATCAGAAAAGGGAGAAAAATGTGGAAAAAAACAAGGAAAGGAGGAAAAAACAAGGAAAGGGAGAAAAGGAAGAAAAACAAGGAAAGGAGAAGAAAAACAAGGAAAGGGAGAAAAGGAGGAAAAAACAAGGAAAGGAGGAAAAAACAAGGAGGAAAAGGAAAAAAAAACAGGGAAAGGGGGGAAAGGAAAAAAAACAAGGAAAGGGGGACAAGGAGGAAAACCAAGGAAAGGAGGAAAAAGAGAAAAAAACAAGGAAATAAGAAAAAAAACAAGGAAAGGAGAAAAAAAAGGAAAGGGTGAAAAGGAGGAAAAACGAGGAAAGGAGAAGAAAAACAAGGAAAGAGGAAGGAGGGAAAATAGGGAAAGAAGAATAAAAACAAGGAGAGGAGAAAAAGGAGGAGAAAATAAGGAAAGGAGAAAAGGGGGAAAAAAACAAGGAAAGGGGGAAAAGCAGAAAAAAGAAGGAGAGGGGGAAAAAGGTGGAAAAAAATGAGGAAAGGGGGAAAGGAGAAAAAAACGAGGAAAGGGGGAAAAAACAAGGAAAGGGGGAAAAGGAGGAAAAATGAGGAAAGGAGAAGAAAAACAAGGAAAGAGGAAGGAGGGAAAACAGGGAAAGAAGAATAAAAACAAGGAAAGGAGAAAAAGGAGGAGAAAATAAGGAAAGGAGAAAAGGGGGAAAAAAAACAAGGAAAGGGGGAAAAGCAGAAAAAAGAAGGAAAGGGGGGAAAAGGTGGAAAAAACGAGGAAAGGGGAAAAAACAAGGAAAGGGGGAAAAGTAGGAAAAAATCAGAAAAGGGGCAAAAGGTGGAAAAAAACAGGAAAGGAGGAAAAAACCAAGGAGGAAAAGGAGAAAAAAACAAGGAAAGGGAGAAAAGGGGGAAAGATGGAATGGGAAAAGTGGGAAAAACAAGGAAAGGGGGAAAAGGAGAAAAAAAAACAAAAAAGGGGGGAAAAGGAATAAAAAACTAAAAAATAAGGGAGTGAAGGAGAGAAAAGATGGAAAAAAACCCCAAAAAGTGGGATAAAAGGGCAGTGTTGGTGTTCCCGAGCTCCAGGGCCGGGAATTCCCTCCCCGCTCCCGCTGCCCATCCCGGGCGGGTTCTCTGGGAATGGGGGGGAGTCCCTGCCGTGCCTTTTCCCGCAGGGAATTCCGCAGGCGGTGCTGGTGGGCCACGACTGGGGCGGGGCCGTGGTGTGGAACATGGCCCTCTTCCACCCCGACAGGGTCAGGTGGGTCCCCGCAGTCCGGAGCCTCGGCACCGCCGCCCGGAATTCCGGGATAACGCTGATTATTCCCGCCGGGAATTCCCAGGGCCGTGACCTCTCTTAACATCCCATTCCGCTGATCCCAAATTCCGGGATAACGCTGATTATTCCCACCGGGAACTCCCAGGGCCATGGCCTCGCTGAACATTCCATACTGCATCTGGAATTCCGGGATAATGCTGATTATTCCTGGCGGGAATGCTCAGGGCCGTGGCCTCACTGAACTCTCTGTTCCACATCCGGAATTCCGGGATAATGCTGGTTTTTCCCACTGGGAATGCTCAGGGCCATGACCTCTCTTAATATTCCATTCCGCTGATCCTGAATTCCGGGATAACGCTGATTTTTCCCACCGGGAATTCCCAGGGCCGTGACCTCTCTTAACATCCCATTCCGCTGATCCCAAATTCCGGGATAACGCTGATTATTCCCACTGGGGACTCCCAGGGCTGTGGCCTCGCTGAACATTCCATACTGCATCTGGAATTCCGGGATAATGCTGATTATTCCCGCTGGGAATGCTCAGGGCCGTGGCCTCTCTTAACATCCCATTCCGCTGATCCCAAATTCCGGGATAACGCTGATTATTCCCACCAGGAATGCTCAGGGCCATGGCTTTGCTGAACTCGCTGTTCCACATCCGGAATTCCGGGATAGCGCTGGTTTTTCCCGCTGGGAATGCTCAGGGCTGTGGCCTCACTGAACATTCCATACCCCTGATCCCGAATTCTGGGATAACGCTGATTTTTCCTGCTGGGAATTCCCAGGGCCGTGGCCTCTCTGAACATTCCATACTATATCCCAAATTCTGGGATAACGCTGATTATTCCTGGCGGGAATGCTCAGGGCCGTGGCCTCACTGAACTCTCTGTTCCACATCCGGAATTCCGGGATAACGCTGATTATTCCCGCTGGGAATGCTCAGGGCCGTGGCCTCTCTTAATATCCCATTCCGCTGATCCCAAATTCCGGGATAACGCTGATTTTTCCCACCGGGAATGCTCAGGGCCGTGGCTTTGCTGAACTCGCTGTTCCACATCCGGAATTTTGGGATATCGCTGGTTTTTCCCGCCGGGAATGCTCAGGGCCATGGCCTCACTGAACATTCCATACCCCTGATCCCGAATTCCAGGATAACGCTGATTTTTCCCTTTGGGAATTCCCAGGGCTGTGGCCTCACTGAACATTCCATACCCCTGATCCCGAATTCC